TAATAAGAGATGAAATATCAATTCAATATATTTGAAACAAATAAATAATATGAAATAAAATAAAAATGAATTATCATAACATATTAATAATTAAATAAATGATGAATGATTTTATCACATTTCATTCATTTGATATTTCATTCTTTATTTTATTATCATTTAATTTGTTTATGATGTATTTCTTATCATTTAAATTATAAAATGAAATTTCTTTTTATTCTTTAATAATTCAATTATCTTATTTCTTCTTTAATCTTCATAAAAAGATTCTTCAAAGCAATATTCTGGTATTGTTTCATTCTTCTTTAATCCTTCTTGACATCCACAATGATAAAAACATCCCTTTCCAAATAATGTAATTGATGATGGTATATTAATTGTTCTTAATGATGAACATCCATAAAAACAATGTTTTCCTATTTTACTAACACTTGTTGGTATATTAATTGTTGTTAATGAATAACACCACTTAAAGCATCCATCTCCTATTTCAATTACACTTGTTGGTATATTAATTGTTGTTAATGATGTACATTCATAAAAACACCAATCTCCTATTTTACTAACACTTGTTGGTATATTAATTGATTTTAATAATGAACATTCTCTAAAACATTCATATCCTATTTCAGTGATTGTTGATGGAATGATAAATTCATTAATATCTTTCTTTTCAATACTCTTTCCATTTATTGTTTTTAAATTTTTTGGTATTTCAATACTAATTAACACTGGTTCATTCATAAATATTCTTTCTTCACTAATATATTTTACATCTTCTATATTAATTGTTGTTAATGATGAACATTTATTAAAACATCCTTTTCCTATTTCAGTTATACTTGTTGGAATATTAATTGATGTTAATGATTTACATCCTTCAAAACATCCTTTTCCTATTTTACTAACATTTATTGGGATATTAATTGTTGTTAATGATGAACAATATTTAAAACATCCATATCCAAACGATGTAATTGATGATGGGATATTAATTGATGTTAATGATTCACATTGAAGAAAACATCCATCTCCTATTGCAATTACACTTGTTGGTATATTGATTGATGTTAATGATGGACATTCATAAAAACATTCATTTCCTATTTTACTAATACTTGTTGGTATATTAATTGTTTGTAATGATGAACAATCTTCAAAACAACTATTTCCTATTTTACTAACATTTGTTGGTATTTCAATTGATTGAATATCATTACATCTATAAAAACAATTAATTCCAAGTAAAGTAACTTCTATTGGTATTGTATTTCCATATTTCTTTCTATCTTCTTTTGTATATTCGATATTTTTACATTCATTCATTTCTTCTTTCTCTTCTAAATATTTTGAATAACTCACTTTATACCATATTACATATTTAAATATTCTTCCATCTTTAAACACTTCATCTTTTTTATTATAAATATGAAATGTCTCAATATTAGGAAACAATTTTCTTGAATATCGATTCAATGGAATTGGATTAAAATGAAATCGTTCCATATTTCCTTGAAATCTTTTAACTCCAATTTCTAAATTAATAAAATCTTTAATACCTTTAAAATACTTCGAGACAATCATTATTTCATTATATCCTAATTGCATTCTTCTTTATTATTTTATTATTTATTAGTTCTTTTTTATTTTTAGTTTGAACCTATTTTATTTTTAAGATTCTTTTTCTTTTTCTAATTTATTTTTTTAATATAAATTATTAATAACAAATAATTTATATCTCAATAAAACATCATTTTTTATTTATTTATTTGATGAAAATGAAAAATAATAAAATATCATAGAAATGAAAATTACAAATGATAAATAATCAATTAATAAATATAACAATAATTTGATAATATGAATAATAAAGAAATGAATAAATCAGTGAATGTAATGTATTTATTTCTATCTTTCTTTATTTCTATCATTTCAAATTAAGAAATCTCAATTTTTTAATTTATTTTAATTATTTGTTATATAAAACAATATATAATTGAAATTTATTAATATAAATGAATATAATATCATATTTGACTTTAATTGTAAATTTAATACATATAATATTCATATTAATTCATTTTATATTAAATTAATAATGATATTACATGAAATATTTCATTATAATGTTATTTCTCTTTTTTATTTTAATTTATTTGTAATTCATTTTAATTTCATTTATTTTCATTTATTTGAATTACATTCACTATTCTATCATTATTTCTTTTATTTATAATTTGTTTTATTCTTTATTTTGATATTGTTTCTATCTTCTTTGTTTTTATTGTGATATTTGTTTTTATTATGATATTGTTTAT